ATTTCCACATCTGAATTTGTGTTCCTTAATTAAGTGTTAATATGTATATATGTTTATTTTTTTTATTAATTTTTTTGTATAGACACAAATTGGTGAATTTTGACAGTGTTTGTTCTTCAACTTGTAATTTGGAGATCATCTAGTTCTTTATACTTTCTTTGTGATTATTTGTTTTTCCTCACTGTCTCTTCCTTTCACACAAAGTGTTTTGATAAAATGCCAAAGTGAAATTTATATAAATTGTTGGACTTGAAACTGATGCACAGTGTGATAATGTAACAATGAGAATTTGCTGAGAAATGAAGAAGAAATGGTTAGTAGTGGAAGTGTGTATATATGAGCAGATCAAGTGAAGAAAAGAAAGGAAACAGAGCTTCAAAGAAGAAGATGAGAAATAATTCTTATTTTCTGCAGATTCAATACATCAAACTTAAAACCTGCAATCTCACACTTGCAGCCCAAACTTCTACCATTGCACCCAACAATGGCCCCTTGTTAGATTACATATTTTGATGTTCAATAAACTTCTGGTCTGACACTGCATATTGTCCTTTCATTGACCCTTTTGAAATCATGGACTATTCTGTTGTCTAAGCCTCTAATAACCTTTATTGGTTCAGTTCTATTACTTTATTCAATTTATTCTATAGTACTAGAACACTGTTCATATTTCTATATAAATATAGATAGGTAGAAAGTCAGTAGTTTACATGAAAAGTGTAACATGTAGAAATTTGTTGTAAGCAGGGAAATGCTCAGAGACCGGAAGTGTGTGTAGTCACATGGAACAATGATGAGCTTGCAACAGATGCACTACCTGTCCATGGCTTTGAGCATACAAGGCAAAGGACTATGCCCTTGCTCACGCTCCATTCTCAGGTAAAATGTGCAAGAGTTTATGAATTGCATTCAAACAGTGGTAATACTTATGCATTTTTATGTAGGTAGCAGCTATGCAGGTGGCAGTGGGCTGCTTGGTGATGAGCCATTATACTATATTGTATCCCCAAAGGATGTAGTTATTGCAAAACCTAGGTTAGTTCAATTTTATCTTTCCTTAGTTTCTATTCCAATAGAATGTCAGTATGTAATTTTCCTATTGATAATTAATTACAGCACAAAAGGCCAGAATATTTATAATCCGAATACACTTTTCACATATCCAAAATACTTCATATTTTTTTATTCACTTTTTACATGTTTCAATACACTTTACACATTTTTCAACACTAATAACAGCCCTAAGGGCTGTTTTTATCATTATCGTTAATTATATCAATCTATATGCTATCTTATCTATAAAGTGAGAAGACACTTTTTTTCGCACTTGTGAATCCAACCACTGCTTAATGCTATCTGTCAAGTTTAGTTCATGAGATGATTATTTATGCAAACATTAGGAGTTATCTGTTTAAAGTTCTCCCCTGCTTCTCATCTTTTTCATATGTCTGCTCACCAAATGCAGTATCTTTACAATTCCAATTAAGCATAGGCTCCTCACCATTTATGGATAGCTAAATCTTGAATACTTCAAGTTTGTGAGAAGGTAGATAGAAGTGAAAAAAATCTGGTAGTTCTTATTGAAAAATAAGAAAATGGTGAAACAAATTAAGGAGGTGCATGGGCAGATAGGTGTCCCAGTTGGTTGGGGGGTGCTTGAGCAGACAAGTGTAGAATTCATCCATTAGTTTTAGTGAGTTCAATGAATTTTTTATTTAACGAATTTAAGTGTATGTCATCTTAATATGGTGAGTGAATTGCCTGAAAATGGAATGCTTTAAATTTTAATTCACATTGATAGAAAAAATTGTGGGATTTAAAAGCATAATTTTGATTCCTTTACTGCTCGCATTGTTTGTTTTGCCATTATACGTTCTCCTATGCCATATTTAAAATCACAAACTTTGTTGATTTACAAATGCAATTTCTTGTTGATTGCTAGGGATGCAGAAGATCATATTTCTTGGCTTCTTCAACATGGATGGCATGAAAAAGCTTTAGCAGCAGTTGAAGCTGGGCAGGGACGAAGTGAGCTTCTTGATGAGGTATCTGTTTAATTTAGTTTAACGGCTCATTTATTTATTTGCATTGTATTACTTACTAAATAAGTAATTGATGGCATGATTTACATATGAAATGTTTACATTTTCTTTCCCATATTTTCATGGAAACAATGTAATATAGAAACCTACAATTTGTCTAATTCTCTTATTTTTTGGAAGAGGCTATTTATGTGTTGTTATTTTTAGTCATTCTGGGTTACTTTGTGAATATGTCAATTAATACCTAATGTTATAATCATGATATCAATAAATTTTCTAATTTTGCTGCTTCTTTAAATTCACTTTTTTTTTTAAGGTCTGCATCAAAGTTGTCAGGAAGATGCATTAGTTACAATTTTGAGAAAGAAAAGAATAATGTGGGTGCCTTCTGGGTTTAAGATATTGAACAATTTACCCCGTATGATAAAATCTGTTGTTTCAGTTTTTGATTTCTAATTGAACTTGAGAAGCAGCAGGCATGTGGAGCACTGGCCCAAGTTTTTTCTATTTGTAACGCTGTAGTATAGCTACTGTGATTTTGGTATAAGCATCAAAGTAGTCTATTCTGAATTGAGTGTATTACTTCACTGGCAGAATAAATGCAAAGCGGTAGAGCAACAGAAAAGACTGATGTTTATAGTTTTGGGGTTCTGGTTCTTGAAGTAGTGAGTGGAAAGTGACCCACTGATGCAGCCATTATTGAGAAGGGCTTCAACATTGTTGGCTGGGTACTTCTCTTCCCTACCCGTGTTTACACTGCTTTCATTCAAATATGTATGACATGATTGTGGAGCTCACAAAGGCGAATTAAGCTTCTTATTTTCCTTGATTAATGATTTCATATGAATCTTCGAGAAAATTCTCTCCTCCTTTGTTGTCTTTCCCACTCCAAACGCTGCCATTTGGCTCTAAGCTGTGTATACTTGTGCAAAAACTAATTTTTAGCATATGGGTCTTTGTTTTTGTGGAGTTTTAGCATTTGGGTCTTGGAGTTTATGAAGTTTTGTGGACTGTGTGAAGAACAGTTTTGAGTCGCAAGACTGAATCTGAAAGGGTTCTACTTCATGTTATAGTAATGGTGGGTTTTGCTTGATGGGTTTCTGATACTAAGCTAACTTTTTGTTAGAGAGTTGTTTGGATGAGGCAATAATGTAGAGGTTGTTAGTTCATGTTAATGGTTTCCGGAATGGTTGGTTTTGGTGGCTTTGATAAGTGGGTGCTGTTGTTACTGAAGGTAGAATAGAAAATGGAAAGAAGTGGGTTATGTTGTGGAGAGTGGGATTGCTGGTTTTGACATTGTTGGAAGGTTCTTCTGCAACTCTTTCTCGTTCTGGTATAGACTATGAGGTCAGTTTCTATTTGGGATGATTTCATTTTTTGTTTTTGTTCATTTTTGTTGTTTCTTAGAATTAAATGCATAAAGAAAGATACTAAGCTATTGCAGTTATTGAATTACAAGCCAAAAATTTGGCAGATTTTCTAGTTTTGGCCTTATTACTTAATTGTCTGTTCCAAATTTGATTTCCGGTGAAGATAAAAGTTCATCCTCTACCCTCTGTGGTTATCTTTCGCTTTTTCTTTGATCTTTTCATGTTGTATGTGGGAAAAGTATACTTTTATTAAATGTAGAATGGAAAGTTCTTTTTTTGCTCCTGTACTTGGGCTACATCTCCAGCCCCTGCTCAAATTTGAGTAAAAAATTTATTTCATATGAACCACTCCAACAGACAAACTCTGATTTAAGCACAAGTTTGTAAAAGCTTTACTAATGGCAAAGTGGTAAATTTGAGAGCCAAAAAAATAAAAGAAAAGAGAGAGCATTTGAGTCTCCCTTGATTTGGGTAAAAATCGGAGTAAAACTCAAATTTGGTATAAGTTTGGGTCAAGGAGTGGAGGGGTTTTTGAGTATTTGAGTTTGATATAGGTTGGAGCGCAAGATTGGAGATGCCCTTAGTGCCTTCATGGCTCTGCAAGAGCATTGCTTTCATTTATTTTTTAGCATTCTTGTAGTTTTTTTTTACCCTTTTCAAGTCCATGTAATCGTGGCTTGAAAACCCATGTTTTATAATTATTTTTCTGTTGTTTTGATGCTTGCTTGATGTAGAAGAGCAAAATGTGACCCATCTTTTGTTTGGTAAAAATCTGATTCAGTGGTGGCTTTGATGGCTATAAAAAATGCTCTCAATGACCGATACAATGTTTTGGAGAACTGGGATATTAATTCAGTAGATCCTTGTTATTGGAGGATGTTTACTTGCTCTGCCGATGTTATGTCTCTGTTTTGTAAGTTGCTTAATCCCTTAACCATAAAGAGATTGAAAAATGAGCAAAAAACTCATCTCATTTTACAGATTTCTTCTTGTCAAACTCCTGTTTAGTGAGCTGTTTATCTTCTTATCAGAGGATTGCCTAGCAAAGCTTGACTGGGACTCTATCGCCTTCAATTGCTAACCTCAGTAACTTGCAATCTGTGTAAGTTGGAACATTCTTTCTTCCATGCAATGTGATTACATTTTATGTTTTCACTTTACTTTTCACCACAATATTATTTACAATCCTTGCAAATAATCAAGAAATTTAGTTTTGATCACATACTGTTACTGTTTTAATTGTGTAGGTTGCTACAGAATAATGCTATTTCTGGTCCTATTCCTGCTGCAATTGGAAGTTGGAGAAGCTTCAGACATTGATCTCTCTAGCAATAAGTTTAATGGTGAAATACCCAGTTCATTGGGAGACCTCAAGAACCTGAATTATTTGTAGGTTTCTGGAACTTTCATCAACCTTGAGTTGCACCATATATTTCACAATTCAGTACATTCAGATTTTCTCCTTCTTGGAATTGACTCGTTTTTGTTGTGCTTTTTTGAGCAAGTCAGGAAACTAAACAACAATAGCCTTACTGGATCCATTCCAGACACTCTGTCCAAAGTTGAAGGTCTCACACTTGTGTAAGTGTTCGCCCCTCTTCACTTTATTTTGTGTAGAACATTGGAGGAGACCTCAGAAATATTCTTTACCATCTTTTGTGAATATTGCTGGCAGAGACCTTTCTTTCAACAACTTCAGCAGTTCCGTGCCAAAAATTGCTGCACGAACTTTCAAGTGAGCTGTACCTAAATTGTTCTCATATTGCTCAGTTGTTTACGTATTTTTTTAATTGATGAAGTTGTCATGCACTTCTCTCTGCTTTCAGGATAATTGGCAACCCATTAATTTGTGGGCCTAATTCAGATAACAACTGTTCTGTGGTCTATCCCGAGCCTGTTTCCTTCCCGCCAGATGGTGTCAAAGGTGTCCATCACATAGTAGTATTTAATTTTCTTTTTAAGTTACTTCACTGCTTTTCATAACTGTTCCATGACATGTTTAATTGATGGAATCTTTACTTTCCCAGATGGGTCAGAATCAGGGACAAAGAGCCACCGTGTGGCTGTCACTTTTGGCGTGAGCTTTGGTGCTGCCTTTTTAATTATAGTAATCATTGGATCATTTGTTTGGTGGAGATATAGACACAACCAGCAAATTTTCTCTTGATGTTAATGGTTAGGTCTATGTACTTCTATCTTCATTTTATTTCCCAGTTTCTTCATTGACAAGTATCAATTCTTATGGCATTATGATGATTGATTAGACGCATTTGTGCTACAACTTAGTTGCATTAGATTATCATAATTCATGTTGTTACACTGTACACTGCATTTGGTTGGCCATTTGTTAAATGGGGGAGTGGTGAGTGAGAGGAGAGGGTAATGTTATTTTGTTGCTTTGTATATAAGGTAGTAATTTTTTGATTGAGAATTGTGAATTCAATTTTTGGATATGCTATTTTGTGGGAAAATTAATGCGATATTTGTTATTTTGAGGGAAAATTAATGCTATATTAAATTGAATGGGAAAGTGAATTAATGCTATATTTGTTATTTGAGTGGGAGTTATTATTTCATATTAATGTTATTTAGTTTTATTATTGGTGTTCTTTTAGTTCAATCACATAAAATTAGCACAATTTCAAAACCAAAGAAAAAAGAAAGAAAAAGAAAGATAAGACGGCGTTTTTAAAATGACACTATAACGGTTGAAATTTTTAAAATTAAAAAAACCTATGAAGGCATTTTAAAAACGTCGCTAAAATCATAGTGATGTCATAGTATTGTCCGGGCAGACGCCGCCTATACTGATACAGCGACGTTTTCCAAACGCCATAAAGTTATAGCGACGGCCGCGTCATCGGCGTTTGGTACTAAACGTCACAAAAAGTATTAGCGACGTTTTTTGTACCTATAGCGGCGTTTAAAAAACGCCGCTAAAAACTTAATTTCCAGCAGTGTGTTACAAAAAAAAAATTATTTTTTTATTTTAAAGACGCTATTACATTCTATCCCCGTTGGACTTCTGTCAGACGATCACCAGAAACTCATCAAAAATGTTCAACATCACTGGGAAGTTACCGAAGTATTGCCAGAAATTCGCCGTAGTGTTTTGAACATTATCGAAAGTAACCGGAATATCAAGAACGTTCACAGAAAGAATATTGACAGAGACTCACCAAAATATCCAGAAATATTGCCCAAAAATAATAGAATAAATGGAAAAATTAGAGCAAAAAACAAATACCAAAATGTGCTAAATATTGAAAAAAAAAAAAAAAAGAAACATAACAACAAACAACAAAAGTGGGGAAAAAATATATGTTATTTTCAATTTTTATAGGATTTAAGCAAATAATCTCCAATATTGATAAAACTGAAAAGTAAGTTTTAAAACTATAAAATGTTACAGTTTCAAAGAATGATTCTATTAAGCATTTATCCTAATTAATCAAATTGAAAAATATGTTATGAAATCGCAAAATTTTACAGTTCCAAAACATGATTCATTTCAGTACTAAAAAAAATTGAAACTATAAAATTTTACAATTTTCACCGCCTATAATTAAAACTCGAAAACAACTTGTTTAGAACTTGAAAATTTTCTCCATTAGAACAGGAAAATAGAAGTATATAGTGGAGAAAAAGTAAAAAACTGAGAGATCGAAAAAAAGATACCGATATATAGAGAGGATTGGATTTCGACAACTATTTGGTATTTAGATCTAACCAGATCTAACACAGATCTACTCAGATCTGATGTAGATCTGAGTAAATCTACATCAATTTTTGGAGTAGATTTACTCATCTTCGTCGTCAGGAGCCTATCTCCTTCATTGTCGATGAGCGCGAAGTAAGGAGTTGGTGCTCAGTGGTTGTCGATGAACCTCAATTAATGGTGGTCACAGGTCGCCGATGACTGCAAATCAGAAAGAAAAACAAAAGAAGGAAGGCATGGTCGTGGTCATCGCTAGATATGAGAAAAAGAGAGATAAAGAAAAGAAGTAAGGTGTAGAGAAAAATAAGAAGAAAAAAAATGTCCACAGGACTTTTGGAGGATTTGGGGTGGCTGCTGTGCGAGGGTGCACAACAGCCTTTGTTGTGCAGCCCAATGGGCCTATTTCATGGCTCATTTCGATAATCTGAACCGTTCATATTTTATAATACATCAAGCAGGACATACCTGCAAAAAATTAAGTCAATCGGATAACGTTTACCCTTTCATCTACTCACATTTGTATTCATTTTAATATTTTAAATCACAATTATTATTTATTTTTGTAGATACAAATGTGAATAAATGAATGGGTAAACGATATTCAATTAACTTAATTTTTTATAGGTATATTCTACTTAATGTATTCTACAATGTGAATAGTTCGAATTATCGAAATAAACTCTGAAATGGACCCATTGAGCTGCACAACAATGATTGTTGTGCATCCCACACAATGGCCACCCCAAATCCACTTTCGGATCTATCCAAAAAAAATTGAAATTAAATAAAACACACTTTTCAAAAAGAACTTGTGAATAATTTGCCCTTATAAGAAATAGCATATTAGTATGAAATTTAACAATATTTACAAAATATTATTTTCATTGGCTTGAAACTTTGGGTGATCGGTATTCAGTAAACTTGGTACTTCCATTCAATGATAATAATAATAATAATAATAATAATACAAAAGAAGAATCAGTATGTTTGAAAACAACTTGGAAAACAATTCTTTGAAAATAATCAGCACGTTTAGTTCTAATTTTTTGAATTTAATTTTTTAGTGAATATTTAAAAAAATTTAAGTAATTTATTTTTTATTTTTTACTTTTTTAGATACACCTTACTTAGATGTATCTAAATAATAAAATATTTGTGAAAAAATATTTTAAAAAATTAATAAATACACAAAAATATGAAAAATGTGCTGAATTTTAAGTTTTATTTTTTATTTTTATATTTTTGGTATTTAGTGGATTTTTTTCACAAATTTATATTTTTTAAGTGTATTTATGTTAGGTGTGTTTAAAAATTAAAAAAATTCATTAAAAACAAAAAAAAAAATATTTTAAAAAAAGTAAATGTTTTTGAAAAAGTATTTTTTGAAAATCAAAACTAAATAAATTGAATATGATTCAAATAAATTAATAAATTGATTTTTTTAAATGTGGCCAAAAAGGCCTAAGTTAGCATACTGTAATTCACCCCATGCTGTGGGTTTTGTATATAGTGTGGTGTGAAATTCATTGACTTCCGATGGGATTTGATACGTGTCGGTGACATTACTGATCAAATAATACTGGTTTAAAATAAGGGTGATATGGCCGATGATTTGGTCAACTTATCTTTTTAAAGAACTTTGGATTCATATTTTATTTTGTAGAATTGGGTTGGGCTAAATGAAATCCTTTTGTGACGTTTAGCACCAAACGCCGAAGATGCGGCCGTCACTATAACTCTATGGCGCTTTAGAAACGTCGCTGTATGACAATAGGTGGCGTTTTATAAAAACGCCGCTAAAGGTCTACTAACGGTAACATGACAGCACCATGCTATTTAGCGACATTTTTAAAACGCCGTCGTATCTCTGATACTATTTAACGACGTTTTTAGAACGCCGTGATAGCCCTCTTCTTTTTTTTTTTAATTGTGCTAATTTTATGTTATTGAATTAAAAAAATACCTATAATAAAACTGAAAATAACACTAATATGAAATAATAACTCTCATTCACATACTAAAATCTCATCAAATGATAGTCCACAACCATTGTGCAAAAAAAAAACATTCACACAAATAATTTGAATAACATTAAGGAGTCACCAAAATTGGATGCCCCTCTATTTGAGCCAAAATAGGAATCTAAGTTCACCAAAATACAAATTTGGACATTTGAGCCAACTTGATATTCATATTCCCATTCACAATAACCACATTCACACAAATCCTTTTCCTATCATATCAACCTAGTTCACCAAAATAGGATGCCCCTCTCTATGCACATATTGCGTGTGCCACCACTTCTAGTGTGTTAAACATACAGATCAGCCATACATCCCTGAATTTTTGTTAATAAAAAATAAATACAAAACCACATACTTACCATCATCTGAAACTAAAACTTTCTTTGAACATATAATTAATCATAAAAAATAAAAATAAAAAAGCAGAGCAATATAGTTTGGTACCTTCCCCCAAGATCAGTTTGGAAAAAAAAAAAGACCACTAAGCAGAACAAAGATCACTAAAGCACATATCAAAAAGATTAAAATGGACCCAATAAACAACAAAGATCATATTATCTTTGCAACAGAAAATCATGAACTTGCAAGACCTAATCAGTAAAAAGAAACAAATCCATCAAGCCCGCAAACCAAATCCGCAAATCCAAGACAAGCTGCCTAAAAAAAATAAAAATGTCAATAGGAATCACGAAGTAAACATTTCTTTAAAGAAATATTTTCAATTTTTTTTTTTCAATTAGAATCGGAAATATGGGAGTTCGGACATAACTGATGAGATAACTGACTAATTACAAACTTGAAGACTTGAAACACCTAATTCAGCTATTTCATGGACAATCTCTATTCAAAATTCTTGATTTTTTTTTCTCTTGTAAGGTTATAAACCCTAGAATGTAGACCCAACAGAAGCCATTTCATTTGTTGCCTTGTAGAGAATACATCAGTATTTCAAATGGTGTCTCTATGAATCTGAGAATTTAAGGTATTGTGGTGTTGTGGTTGAGTAACCACCTCTTGCACAAAGAAAATTGAGAAAATAACATGACAAAGAAGGATGCCAGGGTTCAAGCTACACAGTCCATTCCTTTAATCCAAATCTCAGTTGTTAATAGGGACTTTTCAACTAGTATCACAAACTACAAAAGTATTTCATCAATTGAAACTATTAGTTTCAATAGCAGCTCAAGAATAGAATATTTATAACAACTCCATTTAGTAACAATGTTTGGATCTTAAAAGAAACATTTAATAAGTATCTAAAAAAAAAAGAACCATTTGGTTTGGTAGGAAATAAGAAAGCATGTTTCAGACCACTCATTTGCTGAGTCCATACACTCTAAGACAATGTTTTGTTCACTAAAATGAAGGTAGAATGGAATGGAATAATCATTAGATAGCATCCCATTGGAATGACCATTTC